CTTAATATGAATTTTAAAAAGGGCAGGTATTCAAGCGGCCCATATAGCTTTCTTACTGAATGAATTTGTGTAGTTTCCCTCTTCTTTTCTTATTTTTTTCCTATGGTGTTCTCTTAATATATTAGATGATCAGCTGTTTGATAGTCGAAAAGTCGATTTTTTCTCTTTTCTACTCGCTCCCTTTTATTTTAGTTATTTATTTCTGCCGGTTAAGTAAGATAGAGAAAATCAAAAAAAAAAAAAATAATAATAAAAAGAGAAAAAATATCACGTATGAATGGTTTTGAATTAAAAGAAAAACATAAATAAATAAATATATAAATAAATAAATAAATACATACATACATAAGTAAACAAATAAATAAATACATACATAAATAAATAAATACGTACATACATACATACATACATACATACATTTGCACATACATAAATAAGCAAATAAATATATACGTACGGACATAGTTTCATACGTACATAAATATATAAATACATAAATACATAGATACATACATAAATAATTAAATAACTGAATAAATAAAAACGAAGTTATGTATAAATTGTTTTCTTTTAGTTATTATTATTATTTTTATTAACTTTTTTGTTTTTTTTTTTTTGCATTATGAGCCGTAAAATAATTACAAACATTTTTTAAAAAGATTACAACTTAATCGTTAATAGATTGTTATTGTGTTCGCATAGCAGAGCGATATCGCAAAACTAAACAAAGAATTAATCTCTTAAATAATAAAATTGTTAAATTGTAAAATAAATAAAAATAATTAGAATCAAGTAGAGAGAGAGAAAAAAAAAAGAAGAAAAACAAATAATAAACCACAGTTTTGTAGAATAAATGATAAGAAAGTAAAATAAAAAACTTAAGTAGTGACTGTAAAAAAAAAGAATTATTATCAAGAAATACTCCTTTTTCTCTTTTAACTGTTTTTATCTTTGCAAAATTATTTTAATAACAGATTATGTAACTTTTTTGTAAGTTTTTTGTAAACAAAAACACACGTGTACGAGCTCCATGAGACTTAATATGCATACAATTTGCATAACATTCAATATTGTGTTTATAGGAATTATTTCTTTGGTCACTGAACTTTATAAATGTACTTTAAGCGATGTGTACAATTTTTCATACCTACATCAACTATTAGTTGGTTGCAAATATTTATGAATTTTCTTTGGTAACATTAATCCTTGCGCCTACGAAAGATGAAAGATGGTAGCCTATGGTTAAGCGTCAAAAAAAAAAAAAACACCGAAGTCCGTAATGAGGTTTAGTTTATTGTGAAATGCGGGAAAAAGCACAACAAGAACACATTGGCGCCAAAGTTCACTTTTTGATACCCATGTTCGAAGGATAAGGAAATGTTTGCAATACCCAGAAGAAAGCTTCAAATACCTTACATAGTAACATATATATGCATTCTTGATCAGCATCAAATTTTGAAACGATCTAAGCATGTTCGCCTGACCCTCTCTTTAATGTTTGTTGTAAACGTTCGAAGAGCCAAATAAAGCTATCGACTTTAATTTTGGAAATTCTTGCATGCAAAGTTTGGTATTGAAAATGGCCTGGATTGGTTGAAGGAGACGCCTACCGTAGCACGTAAGCCAAGAACCTCTCTATTTTTTAAAAAAGGATTAAAGAATGGGTTTTTTCTCATTACTCATTACTCATAAAAAATGTACGCGTATTCTAAAGGAATAAAAATGGAAAAATTTAACCAAGCCTACCCAATATTATACTGAAGAAGTAAATTTTTTTTTTTTTAATTCTTATAATGGTCAAAAAGCATGTTTCAGAGAGTCTACATTTGGAATCGATATCAGCATGATGTTTGTCTGTCCATCTGTCCAACCGCCCCTTTGCTATTTTTGTAATGTTTGTTATGAGTATGCTCCAATTTTCAAAAATTGAAGATCTTGGCTTAAAGTCTACCAAAAATGAAAAGTTGTTTAGAGTGAAAATGGCCTAAAGCGTTCAAAGTAGGCGCAATATGAACTGAGAGTACTTTTGCTTTAAGAGCTTTTTGCTATTTACTCAAGAATCACAGTAGAGACACGATAAAAATTTCTATATGTATTCTACAAAAACGGAAAAGTCGGCCGACTCGGTCGGATAGTAAGCAAAATTGAAGAGCGGGGAAGTTTCTCTTTCGTTTTTATACCGATGCCCGAAAATGTTTCAAAACGTTTGCAGAGCCCTGAAGGAAGCTTTCGAGACGTCGTAAAGTACATCCCTCTATGTATGTCATTCTGTATTTGCGTGTGTCTGTGTATAGTCTGCGGTGAAACTTCTCTTTGTTCGGGTGAAAATGATGGGCATACAAAAAAATTTTGCAAAAGCAACTGTGATTTTCTTTCTTGTTTCTTTTTCTTTTTTCTTTTTTTTTTCGCAAGTTTGTGTTATTTATAAATTTTTTCATCTTAAGCGATCAAATAAATCATTTTTACGTTCACCTTCTCTCTTCCGGGTCTTGCAATAATCAAACCAGAGAATTTTATTATAAAATTTCGAGTTTCTATGAAGATTGAGAAGCGAAAGCTATTGAAATTGATTGATACTTTATATAAGCATACTTGAATATATCTGTACACTTGAAACAATTAACTTTCCTTCTGCACATTATAAAAAGCAATAACGAAATTTTTTACTTTTTATACCTTAGATCAGTTGCGGTACAAATGCGTATTAAGTTTGTGCGGATGTATGCAAGACCCAGAAAGATTTGACATAGACATGTCGTTTATTATATCGTTTATTATATCACTCGATTCAGGATTACTCTTGATTAGATCTAAATCGGTCTTGTCTAGCTTGTCTTTTCTTTTGTCTCTTGTACTAAATTTGAAGTAGTTCAGATGAAAGTAACAGGAACAGTGACATTAACGAGAGGAATGATAGCACCGAGAGTGAAGGTGAATTGAATATTGCTAGTAAGAGTTATGTTAAAAATAAATACAAATTTTGAGACGAAAGTAACATTGAAATATAATTTTTAAAAATTGTCTTATAAATTTGAAGTGCGTTCTATCGTCCGGTGCGTTTTTTAGTTTGAAAAACATGGTATATAGAAACATCTTCCCAATGATCGAAATAAATTCAAAATTTTCTTCCCAGAAATATTTTTAATAATAATTCGAAATTTGCCATATTGGCTATGGAAAAATCATCAAATTTGAAACCATAAAAGGTGTCCTCCATATTCACCTGTATCACCTTTATAAAAACCTTCCGTTAAAGAAATTCAAGCTTTTCTTTTTCTGTTCGGGTGCTTGCAGAGCTCTGTTATCGGAGTTGAGTTGTGGTTTAAATTTTAAATTCACTCACTTCTTTAACGTGGTCTTTAAACATGTCCGATTACGGTTTGTTCTTTAAATTTCTCTCGTTCCAAATAGTGGCAGTTCAGATGGATGCGGTCATATTTAACAGATGAGTAGCGCACAAAAATTGAAGGTATGCAAAAACGGCCCAATGAGTATATATCCTCGAAAACGTGAAGCTTCTTCTGCGGCATTCATAAGTTACGCGACAAGAAGCAAAAAATTATAGATAGTTATGATGAACATTTCCATCTAACAAGCAAATTTTAGTTAAAGGTTAGGTAAAGTATGTCGAATAACTCAATAGTCGTGGGTTTAAAACTCAAGTGCCGTAGAGTTTTTCAATAAAATCGCTAGCTTTAGATGTCTTATAACATCTTCTTTAACTTCTTTTGAGTTACTAGCTTAGTTAAGATTCCTATAGAATCTAGGGACTGAAATTTAAAGTTTTGCAATGACATTGCAAACAGTGTACGTGAACTAGTTCGGAAGAAAGCCAAATTAACATGCGATAAATAAATTTATTTATTTATTGTATATTACATAAATCTCGGGAACGACGACTTACAAACCGTGTATTAATATTTACTTGAAAAGGGTCCACCGTTTCAAGAGAACTAAAAAAAAAAGCTTTACATCTCTCTATCTCTTAAATGAAAAGATTACTTTATCTTTCTCCCTCTTCCAATTTCTCTTTATAAACGTCTTTAAATTTAATTTATAGGAAATCATTTTTTACGAAATATTTATAATTCTTATATAATAAGAAGTAAGAGAAGTATATTCAGTCATCACCGAATCTTTTGTACCCATCACCATGATCGTAAAAAAAAGGAGAAAAATTAAGCTTTCACATCCATAATAATGGGTGGGGGCGGCTGATTTTCTTCATTTTCAGAATCAAAGTGGAAATTCATGTACTGTATGCGTTGTGCTTTAAAAATCATGGAAAGCAAAGGTGTTAAGGGTTTTTGTTATATAGATCTGTGGGCTTTCTTTCAAAAGTTTGAGTCACTTTTAAATGCTTTGGCAAGTTTCATTCATTTTTGCGAACGGGAGAATTTTTATCACAGATACTACACACTTGCGTATAGGAACATATGGATGGGTATGCTTATATGCATTCTGAATTTGAAATTGCTCAAGAATTTATCTACTTTTTGTGGAGGTTTTGAACTTTGTTCTTGAGCATTATGTAAAGGTTTTGAATGAAGGCGTGGTCGATTTTTTCCATTTTTGTACACGTACTACGATGAGCAAATCAGCAAAAAAACAATTTTTTTTTAATCCTTTTGAAAAACAGAGTTGTCCTCTCTTTACGTAGTCTTTTAGGCGCGTCCTTCAACCGATTTAGTCCATTTCCAATATCAACCTGTGTGCAAGAATTTCCAATGTTTCTGCAAATTTCAAATCGTTTCCGGTCAGGAGAATCTTCACAACAGACATTGCATAGACGGACAGACGAACATGCTTAAATCGTTTAAAAATTTGATGGTAAATATACGTACTTGGGGGAGGGAGTTGCTGACGTTTTCTTCTGGCTGCTGCAAACTTTTTCACAAAATGAATATATCCCCCTCATCTTTCGGTAGTGGGTGTAATAATAACAAAAACACAACAAGAACTATATTGAATGTAGATTTGCTCTCTTTTGTATAGAGACACTTAGGATTATCTTGAAAATGTAAAATATTTAGAGAGCGCGCATGAGAACAAATATTTGTGTGTTCGTGTTCGTATGGCTTAACAGTGACAATAACTTTAACGTCAATTAGTTGAATTTTGTAAATCGTGTATACAACTTCATATAATTTATAATATATATGTATATATGTATATATATATGTATATGTATGTAATGAAAAATGTTATCCAATAACAATGGGACCATGTGATACGGGAAATTTATGTGTGATGTAAAAAGTTTCATTTCATTTAGCAGAACTTATTATTCAAAAGCAAAAAGACAGACAATAAATAGACAAAAATGGTTTCCAAAAATTTCGCCGATCATTATGCTAAGGAATCCCTGCTGACAGTACCACCGCTACATATACAACCGGCGCGGCTACATCCTAATGGTACCTCTGTGGATATTTGTCCGCGCGAAGATGAAGAGGAAGGCTTAGGTTTTACGCATACTCTGGTAAGTGAAAAATTATTTTTTTTTTTAAGGTAAATTTATTTTAATAAAAAGAAAACATACAAGGGGAAAACAAACAAAAAATTTATATACAATTTCTGGCGAATTTCTATTAACCTTCATCATCTTAGCTATCAAATATCGACGTATTGATGGATGGAAGTTGTTTTAACCTTGACTCTATTTACAATCAGTTCTAAATCAGTCAATCATTTCTTAGAGGTAGTAAGATCTAGTGATTTTTTCTTTTTTTTGTTTTAAATTGTCTAATCACTTAGGGTGTGTCCCCTATGCACCTACAACACGGTGATGGTCAATAAGAAGTAGGGAAAGATAGAGAGATAGAATGAGGTCGCTACCTAGTGGATGTGTGCCCAATATCGGTAAGGGCTATGCCTTTAACGACTAAGAGCTCACTATAGTTACAGTCAAAGTAAATTCTTCCGCATTTAAGATTTCACCCCGCGAACATTGGTCTTGGTAATCGCGATCCTTATCTACTTGGCTATGCAGTGCGTTTTTACCGCAAAAGCTTTAGGTAGTTTTGGCAAATATTGGCGCCATACTTACTAGCGAATGTAAATGCGCAGTTTTTTACCCATTGCAGTCGTATTTATATATACCTAATACCTAATAATCTTGTCAAAGCCTATCATTTAATAAACCTTCCCTCCACTCAAAAAAAAAACTGCCAAACCATCCCTTTTTTAATCTTTTAGAATTCATTTATCCTTTAGTACAATGTATCCTTAACAAAACATGCCTTAAAGTTCACTTAACATGACTATTTAACATAGGAGAGCTTAAGAGGGTATTTTTGCTTATCTAACATAACGTTTATGTACAGTAGACATAGTAACGTAGTAGAAAACATGTTACTCTGGCAAATTACAGATGCAATTATCAGCTTAATTGATTACGGATTGTAGGCGAATCAAAATCTTGATTTACTTAACATAACCATTTAACATAAGTGGGCTCAAAAAGCATAGCTACTCATGTACAGCTTAAGTATTTACTGTTTGCAGGCAAATGTTGACTGACTTAACATAATTACTGAACATAATGGAAAGCTTATTACTACAGCAGATTACAGACGCAATCACTTCACTAATTGTAAGCGAATCAAAAACTTGATTAATCCCACTGGCGACGATGATGATATAGTTTAGAAGAATAAGTTTAGGCAAACTTGGGATTTTTGGGGGTTTGTACGCACTTTGCTATCACGTTTTCAATCGAGAAATTAATGGACGGATGTACGAAAACGTGTGGCTGACTTGATTCCGTTTTTCGGAAAGTTATGGATTTTCCTAGCCTATTGCCTAAGCGTCGTGCATGTGTTACATATATGGAATTAAAGTCAGTATACCTTCTATTTTGGGTACAGAAAAACAGGAAGAAACGCATCCATGTGTAATAAATAAAACAGTTTGTGCTTTTGTTTTTTTGTCTGTTTGTTACTTTGTTTTGTTAACAACAGTGTCATACATATGTGAAACATATATTTTAACTGATTTATTTACGATCCCTTTCATTTGGCAATTTAAGTGAATAAAAAATCATCGAAAATGAATAAAAAAACATTTTCATGCCATACACGTGCTGTGTAGCAACAAGCATTAAATTAATTTTTTTTTTTTTTTTTTTTTTTGATTACGAAATAAGTGGCTTGGATGACACAGTTCTGAATTATTTTTTTTTATTTGCTTTTCTTTTTTTTTTTTGAAATTATTAAACAAATATCAAGCGAGGTTGCTTTCACGATACAGCAAAATTAGCAAAATTAGCAAAATAGCATCATTACGCTAATTTTCTAAAAGATGAACCGACAAATGCCAGTAAGCTTCATCAAAAAAAAAAAAAAAAAAAACTATTGTTATATTGCGCACAGAAAAATGTTTTAATTATTATAACTTCGCATCCTGTCCACACCTTAATCAAACATAATCGACTTTGAAGCTACTGAAAATCAATAATGAGATGAAAAGTGAAATAAAAAAATCTGATCTTCTATGAAACGAATATCAACAACAGGATATTCTCAGCTATCCGGAAGAATAGGTAATGTCAGTAGAGACGTTCAAACGTTCTAAAATGGAATTGTGTGAGAAGCGTAATAAGTTATACAAGGAGGAGGAGAAGGAGGAATGCGTTAAATAGCTATTAGCGATAAAATTTGTAACGTTATCAGTAACGTACTCTTCTATCTATTCTCCTTGTTCAAAGAGAAGTAGAGTGTCTCTATACGAACTAGGATCGAAGAAGAAATTTTTGTTTTTCTCTCCTGTGGTACAGTCTCTATGCTAAGTGCTACGGCTCCCTCAGTATATATGCTGTCTCCTTCATTTTGATGATAGGTACACTGAAAGAAACAAGACCGGTTGGAAACAGTTCGGATCGGACCACTTTTGAAAAACCCTTATATATATACATATATATGGACGTATTAAGCAACGGGCAGTAGGGCATTCAATGTCGGATCGAGGTCCGCTGTAATGTTTTAGTTACTTTTCCTTTCAAAATTGTATTATAGCTGAGCGAACATGTTTTATTAATAACGTTGCTCATCTTTACGGATGACTTTCATATCGATGTTTGAAATTTGCCTCTGCTATCTGCGTTCATCTCAAAATTGCTTTTTGTTAAATCTGTTGTCCATTCCTGATCTCTACGCATAACGTAGCTGATGTCTGCGATAATACATTTTTTTTTTTTTTTTACGTTCATTAGCTTGTGTTACATTATTAAGATAAAATTCTTTAAATGCTTTTGAAAAATTCATTCATACCGCTCAGCGTGCTTATAATGTAAACTATTGTTATGTCAAAGTAAATGAACTCACTGGTACGCAGCTCAGACAATGATAATTTCTTTTCTTTTTTTTTTTGCTTATTTTTCTTTTCCATGATGACGCATTGTACGCGTACTTATAAATTTAGACAAATACATTTAAGCAAAGAGAAAAAAAAAATGTATTCGGATTAGATCGAATTTCTTTTTTTTTTTTATGCCCTACAACGCTTGTGCGGATGTATACAAAACTTGAACTGAAGAACTTGAGATAGACTCATTTTATGTTATCGCGATCGATTCATTAACACTTTCTGCTTTATCCTAAATCTTGTCTGCCCGTCTGTCGTTCTCATATTTTTATCTTTGCGTCCATTATACACATATTATATGCATGTATTAAATCGATCGATTCAGTAACACTTTTTGCATCATCCTAAGTCTTGTCTATCCCTCTTACATTCTTGACTTGACAGGTAATAATTTTTGCGATATTTTCATGAGATTTGGTGTATTTAAGTGTTTTGGCCCGAATGATGAACGCTGTTGATTCAGATGCAACCACTTTTTCGATCACTTCTCACATGAAGCCTTATTTTGAAGAGCCATAATATGAGTAACGGTATTAAACGAAGTGGTGTGGGGTAGTTAACAGTTCGCCGTGGAAACAGTTTTGCTTATTTTTATTAGAAACCCCTTACATACTAATTTTTGTTTTATAAAAAAAACAAGCGGGAAAAGTTTTACAAAGTTTATATGTCTTCTCGATTAGCTTAAGATGTAGAAGCGCTCAATTTGTCTAGTGTGGTGGTGTCTTAATTGCCATATCCGCGCTTGGTTTTATAAAAAGGTGGTCCAAACAGCTTCATGATCCCTACATTACGAAAATACTGGACATGTGTTTGGTTAGACGCATACTCGAGTATGCCTCTGTTGTGTGGTGTCCTTCATATAGGTGCTATGTAGATTCAATTGAATCTGTTTAAAAGCAATTCCAGCTGTTAGCCCTCAGGAGTTTGAGTCAGGACCCGATTGCTTCTCTTCTACCCTATAAAAATAAGTTGCTTCTGTTGTCCTTACCGTCACTTGAGAAACTTAGATTTGTTCTTGGCGTTTCCTTTGCAATCAAAGTAATAAATGGTGCTATTGACTCGCCTTCATTACTTGGTGAGGTAAGCTTTATTGTCCCTAACCGCTTCTCTAGGCATTCTATCACGATTAAACGTAGTTCATTTAAATGCAATTATGAGCTGTTTAACCCGCTTACAGTTATTTGCAGCAACCTAAACGATGTCTGTCACTTATTCTCATTATCGGACTCTTTGAAGTCTATTAAAGCAACTTTGCTTAGTATGCGTGATTTACCAATGTCATACTTAAACTAACATTTCATTCTTAATATTTCATTTTATATTTAAAATAATATTGTGCTGTTAACGGGATTCGTTGGCAAGCTTATGCATGTTTGCAATGGTTTAGGGATTCATTTGCAACCTGAATTTGCTCTTGTTGCGGGTGAGCTTCTGCGCTAGCTGTGTACATGCTTTTTTTTTTGTTATTTACTTATACATGAATTATTATTTTTAACTTTTTAATTTACTTTTAACTTACTTTGTTATTCTTCTTCTTCTTTTTTTCTTCCTTTTGATTGTATACTAGTTTTCAAACAATTAGTATAAGATTTTCTATTAAGATGCACTGAATTCGACTGTAATTTTCTTTAGGTAAATTTCATGCATAAATGGAGAGGAAAAAGAAAAGTCTATCTGCCCTTACGTCCCTTTTTTTGTGAAATTCCCTAAACACCAAGAATTGAAATAAAGCGACGAAGAGACTATACTCGTACTTAATTGCCACAGAACAACTGGAAAGCGATCGGACATTTATTCTCGTTAGGTAGTTATAAGCCTATAAGCAATATATATCTACTTTCTAGCAGTCCACAAGTGTGATATTCGATCTCGTCTCGGTGAATAATTTAAAGCAAACTTCAAATTTCAAAATTATATTAAGCAAAATTTGCAACTTATAGGAAATAGTTACGAGGGTTATGATGAAAATATTCATCTTTGCCAACTATCATCGTCACTACTGAATAGAAATAGAAGGTTAATAATGAAAGTTAATATAATTATGTTATGTTAATTAACACCAGAACTACCGCATGGATCCTTTTCACTTTTGCGCTAGAAAAAAAGTGATTACAAAGC